AATTTTGTTATTGAAAAAAAAGAGAGAGAGAGAGAGCTGTCTTGAACTTCTTGAAACCATCGCCGTCGAGGATCACCACTACACTGACCTACACAATTCAGTTGATTTTTGGGTTGAGTTGGTCGAGATCTGCGTTTTGATGAAGATGAAGGCTTGTTTGGTCGATGATAGGACGACACTGTAGGGAGAAGGTAATTGGGTTTGGGTGTCAGAATCAGAAATAATTCAATGAATAAAGAAAATTACTTTTTAATAAATAATGGATTGAGAATATATAATAAATTAAACCAAATATCTAGGAGTTTGTTGCCGAATCTATTATCATCTTTAGATTAGGGTTTTCTTTGTAAATAACTAAACATACAAGGTCTTTTTGGATGTATATACTTTGTGTATTCTTTTACCTTTATTTTTTCATTTTATCATTCTTTTATTATCTATAGAAGTATAGTTTTTTTTTAGATGTAAATAGGTACTTATTTACAAGATATATATCGTCTAGCTGCCTAGGCGCTAAGCCCTTGTCCACTGCCCAAGGATTAAAATATCGATATTATCGGCGATATTTCGCCGATAATATCGATTTGGTGAGATGACGATATTTGTATACTTATCCATTTACTTATTGTCAAAATATCGCGATATTATCGATAATATCGCTTCTTCCTCTGCAGCTCCGGATCACTCAAGCTCCGTCACCGATCCGTTCACCGACTTCCCCTTCCTGAACTTCTCGCCGTTGTTTCCCGCCTGGGTTTACTGCTGATGCTGCGGGTGCACTGAGGACGCGTAGGACGCGCTGTAACAACTGAGATCCTGCATCCCATTGACCAAGACGAAGCGCCGCTGCCGCCATTTACTCTCCACCTCCGTTCTTCTGTGGCCGCACGATTTGGATCTGAACATAGGCAAAGCTACATCGCCCCTCCCCTCGCCGGAAATGAAGCCCAGGCGCGATTGTCCGCCCTCTGCTCAAGTCGGAAACCTGCAAGTCATGAAGCCCCTCCTGCTGCTGCGCGCTGCTGTGTTTTTTAGAGGTGTGGAGGTGTTGCTTTGAGAGGCGCAAAGTAAACCTTCGCGTGTACAGAGTAGAGTAAAGAGAGGAACAAGAAACAGACGAACGAGAGAAACAATTTGCAGAGTATACAGATTACAGAGTCGAGAGAGGAAGAAGAAAAGCATTTGGCTATGTTACTGAGTGTGCAGAGAGAACACGTGGCCTGTTTCAAGCCACTCCCACGTCTCACTTCTAAGGATACGTGGCTTGCTTCAAGTCACTCTTCTCTCTCTCTCACTTTTGAGGATTTGAATTCTCATTCAATCCAGTTTGAACCGGACCCGTGACCAACACAGCCACTCAAGGGTCGGTATAATGTGGATGTATTGGTTACATAAGTGATAAGTCATAATGGAGGAAATGGACTCAAACTTGGTAATTGCCAAAATTCTTGTTTTGTCAAACTTATTTAGAAATTTAGGTTTAATTTTCACGTACCTTGTTTTCCTTGCTTGGATCATTAAGAAATAATCTTGGACATATAAACACATAAGATTTAGGATCATTTGTTAGTGTGTTCCTAAAAAAAACACAAATGTAACACATTCTAGTCTTGGTTTTGTTTTAGTGCAATGTGTTTGTTTCTTTATATGAAATCTCGTTGGCAACAATTGTAACTTGTTTACAACAACCACAGCAACAAAACCTTATACTATTAAATGGGGTCAACTGTATAAATCGTAGAACGTTACTGGGGTTACCATGTAATGTATAAAATGTAAAATATTGTACTAATTCATTATATATAAATGATTATGATGTGTTTAAACTTCTTTCATTAATTACTACATATTTTCTACACTCACAATGTTTGCCAGCTCGCCATATAATAAACTTAAATCAGTTAAATCCATCATGCAATGCATTTCCTTCCAATTTTTTGTGATAAACTAATAGACAATTGACTAAATAAACATCCTGCAAAGTTTCAATAAAAATTTCCAAGTTTTTCTTACAATTTCCGTGGTTTCCATGTTATTTTTATCGATATCGATAATATCCCGATATTTCCATCGATATTTCCATGTTTTTGGACTACCGATATTTCCAATATCATCGATATTTTATACCTTGCCACCGCCCGACTAGCGCCTAGCGGTTTTTAGACCATTGGTTACAACAGAAAGCTCATAAGCTATTTATACAAAACATAGCTGAGTTAATACTAACAAACTACTTAATATCTTCTAGTTATACTAAAATGCACCAGACTTTTATGAACAAACCATTAAAGATTACTTAACGACTTTTAGCTATGCTAACAACTCAATGCACCAAATGAGGCCACATGTAACTGGATCAAACACATCACATAATGACACACAATCACTTAATATTGTCAACTATTTTTTTCAAAGTGACAATTTTATACCTATGTGGTACTGTATGGGTTTAAATATTATATTTGGACCGAAGATGGATAATTCACAATGGGATTAATTCTTGGTGAATTTAATTCTTGGCTCAATGATATTCCTTCAGGCCAGATGGTATCCAGCCCACGATGGATGAGACCAAGTCCTAACAAGAGTAGGATTCTTAAAGGCGGATTAGGTGAAGTAGTGGTTCGGCCTAGTCCTAATTAAAGTACAACTATATAGGACCAGGATGGGTTTGATAAGATTCAAATCATTCTAAGAATCAAAGTTTGTTGCTAATTAAGATAAGGAATGTATCTAAAGGTTCAGAGTCCTAGTTCTCGTAGAACGGGTCGAAGCCGCGTGTAGATTAGTTTTGGCTAGTGATAGGAAAATGTTGAGATATTCAGAGAGACACTGAAGAAGTATAGGTCTAGTGGGACTTTATTGCAGCATACTTAGTTATCATGAAACTCGCCCATATAAATAGAAGTGAGTCGACAACGTGAAAAATACCTTCAACTCACAAATGCCCTACGCAAAAAATTGCTCTACGCGAACATCTCTCATACTCTAAGAAACCACTGACTTCCCTAACTCCATCAACAAACCTTCAGTTTGGAATAACATCAGTGCATTGACAACTGAAGACATCTTCAATAATGATTAACCGCGCTAGAGCCATAAAATCAGGCGACTGAGAAGTATCTTCAATTTGGAACAGTGTTGGTTCGAGTTCGGCTGGTTATCTATCCAAATCTCTGTCAGCGAGGAATCTTTGTATTTATTGTTGGAAGAGGTCATCTCATTAGCTTATCGGGAAGTGAGGTGTTGTCAAGTTATTTCATACATTGAAAGTCAAGCTTGTCTATGATTGGTTATTCTCAGGTGCATTTACAGTCAAGACACTTATCTATTTTGAGTATTTGTGTTCTTACAGTTTGATCCCAATTCGGCACACCTATATTTTTAAAAATATAGTTGAAGCAGTCGAACCTAGTGCAGAAGATCATGGACTTCGGAATGACTAGAGACCTTGTCTTCAAGTTCTAGAATCCAAGGCCAAGACGTGTTCCTTCATAGACCGTGATCACTTGAATACAAAATTCAGTAGCGCAATCGACACCACCACCACATTTATTCTCCTCGCCGACCGAGCTTGCTACTTGAAGATTCGGCAAGAACGGAGTGAACAAAACAACTTGACTACCTCGGAGATTAGAGTTATGATATTTACACCTTCATTTGTGGGATCAGATCTAATGATGGGTCCAGGTTGTGAGTTGGCACGCCTCACCAGAAGAATATAGTTAGCTCATTAGTTACTCGGTATGTACACCACAGAGGCTTAATAATTTTTAAGGCAACAGTTACTCATCAAAATTTTGTGTTGGATGCCTTTTAATTCAAGCTTTGAACTCTTATCAATTATAATTATAATTATAGAAGCAATCATCTTTTCAATTTGCTGATGCCTATCTAGTGTTGTTTAAAGCGCCATAATTCTTCTTGTGGAATTGTTTTAATGACCTACCTAGACGAATGAGGTTCATTTCTGGATCCTCTTTATAAGGATTTCGAGAATCTTTTAATTATATTCGTTCATCGTATATCATCTTATCAGAAATCATTGTAATTTTTTTTATTTAAAATTAAATCTAAATAGTATTTGAAAAAATTAACTATACGATATACAATAAATGAACATGATTGAAAAATCTCTATGATCCTCACAAAGAGAATCCAAAGAAGAACCTTATTCCACCAAGACAAAGTGGAACTGGCACCTAGCCCCGACACCATGATATAAATCGCCTTTTTTCTATTAATGAGATCTTATCCATATCATCATACAGATTTGCTGGGGGATAAAATAAGAAAGGGTCTACTTTATCTTTTATATAAACATGAGAACCCTTTCTACACATACGAAAGTCATGGAACACATATAAATAGCATTTCTAACAAACCCATCCAAGCCTCCACCACCGTCTTCATTATTTGACCAATTAGGTTCCCTAATATATATGATCTTTTGCATCCTGAAAATTTTGAAAATGGTAAAAAATAGTTTTGGACGTGGGTAGAAAGGAAAAAAAATGGAAGAATTGTATGAGAAAATTGAATTTTGTGTGGACAAAGTACATAGATATTTATAAAGTTTTTGGGTTAATTTTTATTTAAATAGTTTTTTAATTGTTTTTGCCGTTGATTTTTATTTTGGCTGTTTAGATTTTTTTTACCGTTAGATTTAATCATTTTCGATCTCAATTGTTAGATTTAATGTATTATAAATTAGACTTAAAAAATAAAGTTTGAATTGCATCGTTAGATGGTCCAATCAGATCGGACGTCGGATTAAAAACTAGTCGTTGGCCTTGATTTGGGTGGCCAATAAAGTTGTCGGTGGTGGATCCCACCTGATGTAGCTATCTAGCGTGTGGGAATGTGGTGCGTATCAGTGAGCCGAATGTGGATTTTTTGCAGGCACGTGCACACACAATGGTGGGCTAGGTTCTTAACTTTGCCTGGTATTTTGGGTAGAAATTAGCCCAAGAAAAAGTTTTAATCCAATTTTTTTTTTCTTACACTTACTAATTGGAGAAACTTTGAGGGAGTTTAAAACTTAAATTCCCAACCATTGCAAATAGTCTAAAGAAAAAGAGAGAAAAATTAGACAAAACTCAAATGGAGACAAATGAAGAGAAATGTAAATTTACCATATTAATATTTTAGTGAAGTATTATCGGAACTTTTGAATTAACCAAAAGGAAGTTGTAGCTTTATATATAGAGAAGATAAGTAAACACATTCAAGTGGCATTATCACAATACAAATATAGACAGTGCAATGGCCCTGCAGCTGGAAGAAGAGGAAAACTTCTGCTATGCCATGCAGCTTGTGTTTTCTTCTGTTCTGTCCATGTCTATGCAATCAGCAATCGAGCTAGGCATTTTCGACATCATAGCGAAAGCCGGTCCTGGCGCCAAACTCTCTTCATCGGAGATTGCAGCTCATATCGGCAGTGGCACCAGGAACTCTGAAGCACCGATGATGTTGGATCGTATTCTAAGGCTCCTTGCCAGTCACTCTATTCTCAGCTGCTCTGCAGTTGCTAATGAAGAAGATGGGTCTGATTCTCAGAGGCTCTACAGCCTTGGTCCTGTGTCCAACTACTTTGTGACTAATGAAGATGGTGTTTCTTTGGGTCCCTTGATGGCATTGATTCAAGATAAGGTCTTCCTAGACAGCTGGTATGTTTAGTACTACGTACTCTCTTGCGCTTACTAATTAAACATGTCTTAACCCTTCTCTTTTTGTTCATTTATTTTGTTTTAGTAAAATTATTAGAAATAATTAGAGCAATGGTCCTGAAATTTAGTTTAATTAGAACTTGGTCTTTAATTAAATATATGTGAGTATATATTGGTCTCCGACCTTCTTACAGTGAAGATTAATTATTATTTTAAATAACTCTATTAGAACTTCGTTCCTTTTTTGGGTAACAAAAAAATCTAATTACTTAATACAAAGTAATAATAAAAAAAAATTGTCAGCACAGAAAAGTACGAGAAATAATTCAACTCTTGTTAAATTGAGTAGTTCAAACTTATTTGGCAAATTTTCATCTGTTTCGTATCTGAAATCACTTGCAACTTATTTATTCACAACAAATTATACAAATTTCCACATCAGTCACGACTCATTGGTGAAAAAAGTTTTGGTGTCTCTCTAGTTTTTTTTTCCTTTTTTAATTAGCCTAATTAATAGTAATTTATCTTTTTAACTCTAACTTGAGTGGTACACATTGACATTGATAGGTCCCAACTGAAAGATGCAGTTGTTGAAGGAGGAATTCCATTTAACAAGGTCCATGGGACGCATGCTTTTGAGTATCCAGGTTTAGACGCCAGGTTTAATCAAGTTTTCAACACAGCAATGTTTAACCACACCACTATTGTCATGAAGAAGATTCTTCATCTCTACAAGGGCTTTGAGAAACTTACCCAACTTGTTGACGTTGGTGGTGGTTTGGGAGTGACTCTTAGTCTAATCACTTCTAAACATCCCCATATTAAGGGTATCAATTACGACTTGCCACATGTCGTAAAACATGCCCCTTCATATCCTGGTAAAAATTACTTTAGTTAATTTGATTCATGATACTTAGTTGGAAACCCTTTTCCTCTCCCTGCACACTTATGTTTAGGCTTCGCCTTGAATAAAAAACAAGAGACATAAATAAACAGCGGTATACAAAAGACGAAAAAAGACGTGCGGAAATCATTTTCCTTCTTAATTAGTTTTTTTATCTTGCACAAGCCATGCAACTTGAAACAGGAGTTAATTTATTTTTGCAGGGGTGGAACATGTTGGAGGAGACATGTTTGCAAGTGTTCCATCTGGGGATGCCATTTTTATGAAGGTAATTTTTCAATTTTCGAGCATTAAATTTTTTTTTTTCCATTTCAGTTTGAGGTCATACTAACAAAGGTTATAATTTATCTTTTGATAAATTTGTAGTGGATACTTCACGATTGGAGTGACCAACATTGCCTAAAGCTGTTGAAAATTTGTTACAATGCTATTCCAGAGGATGGGAAAGTGATTATCGTGGAAGCAGTTCTTCCAGTGATGTCAGAGACTAGCACCGCCGTGAAGAGCACCTCCCAAATTGATGTGCTTATGATGACTCAAAACCCGGGAGGAAAGGAGCGGAGCCGAGAAGAGTTCATGGCTTTGGCAACTGGTGCAGGATTTAGTGGCATTAAATATGAATGTTTTGTCTGTAATTTTTGGGTGATGGAGATCTTTAAGTAAACACCTGCCTCATGGAAGTGTAATTCTGGCCTCTTGACCCATCAATCACAAGGGCACTGATGTAATTCATAATCAACTAAAAACACTTACCTCGAATGGACCCTCTGTCTGCAAACATGAAAAGTCTTTACTCTCATCACACCCTTCAATATTCGAAAGTCTTCTACTCTCTTCAATGTGGCCAGAATATGTTTTCTTTGGTGTTTAACCCCATGAACTGCGAAAACTTTATATGTGTTGTTTCAGCAGTCGAAACCTTTAATTTGGGTCGAAGAGACAATGCATCGTAATCTTTACCTCAAGACTATCATATGCGATGAGACTACTTGAATTTTTTTAGTCATGGACTCGCACCTTAATTCTTGGCAAGCGAGATTTCTGACTGATTCGAATATGTTTGCATGATATATTGTGCCACTGTGATTCGAAACATGAAGCTTGAACTTTATTTGAAATGTGATTCAGTGTTCATGTTATGAATTGGGTAATGCTTTATTATTATTTTGTTGGACTATGTGTAGATGTGTGTTGGGATAAAAATAAATCCGATTCATAATTCATATCTCGGAAACACCTATGCTTGCGAGCATGATTGGCAAAATATTTTTCTTAAAACTACAAGAGATGTATTAAAGCAACTTGTGTACATATGTATCTGATGCAGTAAGAATTAGGTGTTTTTATATGAATACACCTTATAACTTAGTAGAGGGTTAAGTTTGAAGGTGTAATCGTCTTGATAATTTGTAGTCTTCTTCTTTATTTTAGTCACTGTAATAAGAATTATAGTTTGGAATCCGTTTTCTTCTTTCCTCGTCCTTCATTTTGTAACATGGTATTAAATTGAGTTCAATACCTCTAGGTTCAATCCGCATTTGTTTGTTATTGTTTGTTTATCGATTCTTCATCTCTTATACTTCTTATTTAGTTTGGCTTATCTATAGTGCTAATCCGTGGATTTTGTCGTTTTTCACTGTGGGTTCGTTTTTTTGTTTAGATTTCACTTCCGCTTGTTTTTTGTTCTTTGGACTTATGCTTGTATTCTTTCCTTGTTATTGTTTCCAACTTTCATTTGTTTAATTTTTTTGGTTATACTACTTCTCTTTGTTTTTTTTAGTGTTCTTTATTTGAAGTTATGACTGCTTGGTTTCTTGATTGTCTTTGACATACGTAATTGGTTCCATGAACAGAGAACTCCATGACCTTAAAGAAGAAATTCTAGCCAATGCACCCCAAGGCCTCTAACTAGTCGACCCGAGAACCATATCGCACACTACAACCGCTAGGAGGTGAAAGTCACTAGTGAAGGCATAACCCTGGAGCCACACAGAGACCTTGTGAGCCATACCCTTGGTACAAAAATAGCGGCCTGTTGCGACCATCACCGCCTCACTGCGTGCCAAACCCAAGCGAGCAGCCACCGGAGAATTGAGAATGAACCCCTCCAATAGCATAGCGTGGCCTTGAGAACGCTTAGTGGCAGAATAGCGTTTAGAGCAAGAGGATGCTCAAGTTGTTCCACCAAAATCGAGGGTGGTGTAGTAAAGTCATCAGGATCCGTTTCGGGATCCAAAAAACCTTCATCAAAAAGAAGCATGAGAATATGAGATTGGCGGCATTGACGCCCCGATTGATAATGATCATCGTAGTTAAAGCAGAGACTCTTCTCTCTACGTGCACACATTTCCGTTTGTGTGAGCCGCATGACCGGTTTAGGTGATGGTAGGGAAGTTGTTGGCGGAGGTGGTATTAGAGTTTGTGTTTTATGTGTTTTTCAATGGAGATCTCTGTGTTGGAGGTTGAAGAACAAAACAGAGAAATGAGAGAGAAGAAGATTGAAATGTGTCTCTTCGATTTCACTCAATATCCAAAAATACATTTGTAACCGTTATGTATGTAGAGGAAGGGAGATCCTTCACTCACCAATACACAACACAATCTCAACCATACATTGCTATCATCCTATGAGATGATGCCACTTGTCTTGTTATATCACTTAGATCCTATGCTAGAGAAGAGACCACTTGGACTATGATCCAATGGCTCAGATTACATCAGCAAGATAAAGCACATAAAAGGAAAATCAAAATTTGTAACTTTAGCTCCAAGATATTAGCTCAAGGGTTATTTATCAACACTCCCTGCTAACCCTTTAGCTGATTTCACACCAAGTAGATCTCTTAGGTAGACAAATCGATCTTTTGACAGAGCCTTGGTCAGTATATCTGCAATCTGGTCTTCTGTTTTGCAGTAGACAAGTTCAATCTCCTTTGTTTGGATAGCTTCCCTGATAAAATGAAATTTCCTACTGATGTGCCTAGTTCTCTGGTGTAGAACTGGATTCTTTGCCATTGCTATGGCTGAAGTGTTGTCGCACAAAATTGGTGTGCCTTCCACTTGCTCCTCACCAAAATCTTCAAGCACAAACCTTAGCCATTTAGCATGTGATGCTTCTGCAGCACTGACATATTCTGCTTCTGCAGTGGACAGTGCCACTGTGTTTTGTTTGATTGATGCCCATGAAAACATACCGGATCCAAGTGTAAATGCATATCCTGAGGTGCTTCTCATGTCATCCTCACTTCCTGCCCAGTCACTATCACAGTACCCTATCAGAGTAGTTGTCTTCCCTTTTACAAATTCAATTCCAAAATCAAGAGTGCCCTGAATATATCTCAACACCCTTTTGGCTGTTCCCATGTGTTTCTTTGTTAGGTTATGCATGAATCTAGCAAGTAAACTAGAAGCAAACATTATATCCGGCCTTGTAGCAGTCAAGTATAACAAGCTACCTACAATTTGTCTATATTCACTTTCATTTGCTGCTTCACTACCATCTGTCTTGCATAACTTCTCATTCACAGCCAGTGGTGTTGCCACTGATTTGCAATCTTTCATCCCAAATTTCTCAATAAGCTTCATTGCATATTTTCTCTGGTGGATAAAAATGTTTTTATCTGTTTGCACTACTCCCATGCCAAGAAAATGATGAAGTAACCCCAGATCAGTCATCTCATAATGCTGCATCATGTCATTTTTGAACTCTTCGAGTAGTTTTGGACAACTTCCAGTATATACAATATCGTCCACATAGAGTGAAACAATAATGATACCTGTAGCTTCACTAGTTTTGACATAAAGTGTTGCTTCACTAGAACTCTTCTTGAAACCTGCCTTGCCGAAATAGGAATCTATCTCATCATACCAAGCTCTCGGAGCTTGCTTCAACCCATACAGAGCCTTGTTCAACTTATACACCTTGGTTTCTTCACTCTCCTTCACAAAACCTTGTGGCTGCTCAACATAAACTTCCTCCTTCAAAGTTCCATTCAGAAAAGCAGATTTTACATCCAACTGATATAGATTCCATTCCTTCTGTGCAGCAAGTACTATCAAGGTCCTAATAGTATCTAATCTTGCAACCGGGGCGAATGTTTCATTGTAGTCTATCCCAGGCTTTTGGGAATAACCTTTTGCCACCAGTCTAGCCTTGTTTTTCTGCACGGATCCATCAAGGTTCAACATGGTTTTATAGACCCACTTAACACCAATGATTGGCTTGTCAAATGGTCTATCAACTAGCTCCCATGTGTTGTTCTTCTCAATCATTTCAAGCTCAGATTTCATTGCATTTTCCCATGAGTCATCTAGAATAGCATCTTCATAGTTTTCAGGTTCTACAATGCACATGTTACACTGAGCCATGATCTCATTTACACTTCTCCATTTCTGTGGTGTGTGATCAGTTGTTTGAGAACTTTCGAAAACATTCTCACTTAGTGATGCAACAACATCCTCCACTTGAGTTGATGTATCCAAGAATTGTCTTGGTTCACATACTTCCACTTGATTCTGTCCTTCACTACAATCTGCCATTTGATTCTCAATAATCATGGGAACTTGTATTTCACTCTTATCAGTGTTCTCCCACTCCCATGAAGCATTCTCATCAAAGTGTACATCTCTAAACAGGATGATCTTATTAGAACTTGGATCAAACACTCTGTACCCTTTTTCACAGATTCCATAGCCTACAAAAATACACTTGCGACTATTTTCTTCAAGCTTATGCCTTAGTGTTGAGGGAATGTGCACATAGCATAGTGACCCAAAGATCTTCAAGTGTGCAATGCCTGGTTTTCTACCAGTGTATGCTTCAAATGGAGTTATCTTCTTGAGGGACTTTGAGGGACATCTATTAAGTATGTAGACTGCAGTGTTCACAGCCTCTGCCCAAAATGCATAAGAAAGACCTTTTTCATGCATCATAGACTTTGCCATTTCCACCACAGTCATATTCTTCCTCTCAGCTCCTCCATTCTGTTGAGGAGAATATGCCATGGTTAATTGCCTTTGAATTCCAAGCTCATTGCAATAACTATCAAATTCAGTTGATAAGAACTCTCCACCCCGATCACTCCTTAGACATTTCACCTTATATCCACACTGCAACTCTGTCATTGCTTTAAACTTCTTGAAACAATCAAATGCACTTGACTTGTTTCTGAGAAAATATACCCAAGACATCCTAGTACAATCATCAGTGAACAACAGAAAGTACTTATTTCCAGAGATAGATTCAGTTTGCATTGGTCCACAGATATCTGTGTGAACCAATTCCAAAGGAAATTTTGCTCTCCAAGCTGATTTTGATGGAAAAGACTCTCTGTGTTGCTTTCCTAGCATGCAGCCTTCACACACAACAGAGGTTTTTTCCAAATGAGGCAATCCATGAACCATTTCTTGATCTTCAAGCATTTTGATGCTTCTGTTATTTAGATGTCCCAAACGCTTATGCCATATCTGCATACAGTGTGTCACACTTGCTTTCAAGGCTATCTGATTTGCTGGCATCATTGTAAGAGGAAAACACCTGTTGTTTGTCATCTGCACTCTAACCACAAGATTATCCATTGACCAACCATCGAAGATACTCACAATATTTCCTCCAAACAATAGATAGTACCCGTGCTCCATCATCTGTCCAACACGTAGTAGATTCTCTTCAAGTCCAGGAACAAGCATCACTTCTTGAATGTGCTTTCTTCCCAATTTGGTCTCTATAACAAGAGTCCCCTTTCCTGCAACCTGAACAATCTCTCCAGTTCCCATTTTCACCCTGGAAGTCAGATTCCTTTGGATGTTGATTAGTAACCTTTCATCACCTGTCATGTGGTTACTACAACCACTATCAATGTACCATGAATGATTCATCTTCACATCTGTCATAGCATTGCATGCATAGAACAGGGTACCAGTTTCTTCAACATGGTTTACATAGTTCACCTTTTGTATATTTTTG